CATTTACTTTCTCTTCATATATAACTTAAATAATTATATATAGCATTTTATTATATTATTTTAACATATAATTTAATATATTTATATATAATTTTTTTATTTTAATATAAAATTTTTTTATTTTAATATAAAAAATTTTTATTTTGATATATAACTTTTTATATTCATATACAATTTTTATTTATATATATTTTTTTATAATATCTTTGTAATTATAATATATTTAAATAATGCCACTTCAGCGGAATGAATGTGTAACCATAAGAATTTAAACTCCACTAGTTTGGATACATACAGTGTGCAAAAAAAATAATCGTACACTTATAAAAAATCATAATTTTAAAGATTGTATCAAAAAAATGAGTTGTCCGTTAAAATATTCAAAAACTATTTTTAGATATCTTATCAAGTGTTGTTTTATGAATTTATTTGCGCATTGATGAATTAATTGCTTTTCAAACCTATTGAACTTTACACAATTGATCTAATGATGCATAAAATTGACTGCAAAAAAAAATAATCGTACAGTTAAGAAAAATGTCAAATTGATCAACTTCCATAGAAATTAGTATTGAGTAGGACCTCCGTTTGCCTTGATGGCCTCAACTAGACAATTTGGCATTGAGTTAACCAAATTTTGGGTCTCTTCTTTTGTTACATTATCTCATCCGTTCATTATAGCTTCTTTAAAATTGTCTTTGCGTCAAAATGCTCGGTTGCCGATTTTTCTATCGAAAATATACCACAAGTTTTTTATTGGATTCAAGTTCAGACTTTGAGATGGTTATTTTCAAAACATTGATGTTACCTATGTCAAAGTATACCTTCGTTTTCTTAGCAGTATGTTTAGGATTGTTATCCTGCTGGAGTATGAAATCGCTTCTGATTCTTAATTTTTAAGTATATGGTTGCAAGTTGGCTTGGAGAATTTCACTATCCATTGAAGCATCCATTTAGTAATTAATAAATGTAAAATTTTCCACTACTTTTCAACTCATACTACCCCAAACTATCACATTTCCTCCTCCATGCATTACGCTACCACGCAAACAACTCAATTTATAAACTTCTTTTTTCGCCACACCTTTTGGAATCCTATGAGACGAGATTGTACTTTGACTTTTTTTTACAACTTCTAAACAAATGAAAAGTTGATTAATTTTAGCCAATTTTTCATTTGTTTAGAAGTTAAAAAAACCTTTATTTTGAACCATATATCTCTATATCCTTGCTCTTATACAATTTCTGACTGTTTGAGGAGCCACTGGTGTTATAATCTTCTTGAATTTAAAATTGAAACTCGCTGGAGATTGCTATAACTAGTCAATTTAAGGCCTCTGGGTAGTAAATGCTCTAGACCAAGGATTATTTTGTTTTGGAAAGAGTTGTTGTTTTAATGGGGTTTCAAGCATTTAGGAGAAACGTAATGCTAACCCCGAGGCCAAAAAACTAGTAGTTTCAGGTGTATCTGTGAGTATTCGAAACGATTTTGTAATAATATGCTGGCGCAAACGTCGGATTTAGGTACCATATCTTTTTCAGTAATTTTGATTTTCAATTAACTATATTAATAATTATATTTAAATGATATAAAAGTGTTGAGTATATTATCTTTTTTGTTACTTGAATCATGGCTCTTGGAGCGGCGGGGACCACGGCCCCCTAGAGGACCTTTTTTTCTTTTTTTGTTTGTTTTTGTCAAATATTTTTGTTAAATTGTGTTTTTGTGAGTAAAAATGGACAGAGATATTAAAAAGTTGCAGTTTAACATTTTGAATTCTAAAGTTATTAGAATGTATTATTCTTTATGTATTCGAAATATAATCGTTTGTTTTGGCAATTTTAATCAAAAACTTTTTATTAAATTACTTATCTTGATGTAATACAATTATGTAATGATTTGCTAAATTTTAGATTTTAATAGAAATTATCTAATCTTGCAAATGATAATACAAATAATTCAAAATATAAGTTTTAATTGCAAAAAGTTTGATTTGTAAACGCTTTTAAAATTAATTTCTAGCAAAACTCAAAAATTATGGACTTAAAAAATGAATCCTCTGTATGTGTATTGTGTGTTAAAATGAAATTTGAAGGAAATTTGTTGAGCCAAGTGGGTGCAGGATTTGGAAGAAATGTTGTCAACCAAGAAACTCTTGAAAAATTAATTGAATGTGCTTCAAAATTGGATTTGAATGTATTGGTTTATAAACTGTAAAAAAACAAGAAGCAGAAGAAAAAGATTATATTCACTCATTGTGTCAAACTAAACTAACAAACCAATCAAAATCAATTAAAAAAGCACAAGCATCAATGGAAATCCTATAGAAAGAAAACGTTCAACTTGATCAGAACACGTTTTTTTTTATTTTAAAAAACAATGTTTTTACTGTGGAAATATGTGCATCTTTGACAGTCGCCATCCTAAAAAAAAATAATGTAGAGGACAAAAAAGTTAAAGTTATAACTGCAGCAGCAAAATTATTGAGTGATTGTATAAAGCATACCCTTCATTAGAAGATGTAACTGACAAGGAAAACACCTGCATACCGTTATTGCTGAAGGTGTTTATGAAAAAACCATTACAACAAGCGTCAATTTTACGAGCATTATTTTCCGCACTGAGGCCACAATCAATAATGGCAATGCAGTTAGTAGTAGCCTTTACCGTTGGTAATGTACTTTCTTCGAAGTGACTAAATATTCTGCTTGCTAAACTGGGTTTTGCATCAAGTTATGACGTTGTTTGTTTATTTAGTGATAACTTTAGTTGTATTTATCTTTTGAAAAATCTATACTTCACACATAACAATATTGAATACAAAGAGAAACAAACTATATTTAACAGGTCATTCGTTACAAGCAGAACATAGTGAAACATGATTAAATTAACGATATACTTTGCCCTGAAGGTCCAACATCTATTCAGTTTATTGGAAATAACACAGATCATGATTTAGCAAAAAATCGATGGTAAAAACACACGAACTAGGTTTTATATTAGTTGCAAATGGAAATTTTATTGGGCACACAAATAAGAAAAGATTACCTAGGGATATGAAAGATAATTGGTCTAACATAAACTTTGACAGCCAGATTAAAATCTTTCAGTTTTACAGCTCTGACATTTCGGTTTTATTTCAAATAAAATTTCAAGAATTTTAAAATGTATTTACATAACTAGGCTTAGTAGTGTTCCAAATAAAAAGTGTTTAAATTTTATGTAAATCTTTAAAATATAATGAAAACTTCTATAGATAAACTTTATTTTGAGATTTTTGATGATATTAGCAAAGCATGGTTAACTTTTCAGTTTTCTTTTATTTATGGTCACTTTAAAGCCAAACCTTGTCGATGTACTTTGGAACATGTCATATATCTTTGAGTTACAATGCCCTAGTTGGGCTGCCTATACGATTCGTCAAGTTAATAATCTCCTACCTACATCTAAAGTAACCATGCTTTCAATAATCAACTTACCGGTAACTGATTTCAATGCGTTATATTCTTTATTAAGTTTTATTGTAATATAGTCAGAAAAGCTACAACTTGGAATGTCCTATGGGACATTTGGTCAACACCATTATGTCGAAGCCTATGAAATTGCGGCTTCAAAAAAAATGAACGTTTTTATTAGAATTGGTGGATTTCATCAGCTAATGAGTTTTCTTGAAGCTTTTGGAACATTGATGAAAGGAAATAGATTAAAAACTGCTCTTGAAACTGTTTATGCTTCAGTAACAGCCAACCGTATGTTTGCTGCATCGGCTTATCTATATTGCTGGAAGAAATTTGGATTAAACTAAGTGATGAAGAAAAAGGTGAAATTAAACTAATGTACAACTCAAATATGCATAATAAAAATGGCGATACTAAGCTTGAAATGATGTTAACTCCATTATTTGAAGAAAAGCAAGAAGAATACATGGCGAAATCACGAACTTCAAAGTTATGGCTAAACTATGTTCACAACATAGTTATTGTATAAGAGCTTATTTGAGCGGAAAGAATTAGTAACTGGAATCTAGATATTGCTATAACAAAATGTATGCTAAACCTACTTGCCTCGACTGGGCACAATAATTTTACAAAATTATAACGTTTATATTTTTATAATCAGTTGATGAATTACCATGCACTCACACAGAAGTATATAAACAGTTTCTCAATGACAAACATACAGTAAGGTGCATTTCAAAGTTGGTCTGAAATATGGACCGATTTATCAATAGAACATATATTAATAAAATCTTTGAAGGGCAAATAAGGAGTCGTTGGCAAAGAAATTAATGAAAATGTGTTGCATGTTTGGACAAGTACAATACATAGGTTTAAGATAATAAGATAAATAATAAGATTAAATCTTCGTATTTTATTGACTTGGAATTCGCCAATAGAACAACTGATGTTATGGTTAGAAAAGGATAAAAGGGTAAAAATTAATAAATGCTACTAATAAAATAGACATTTATAGCAAAAACTAAATATGGAAAATATGCATTGTATTACTTCCATTAATATTTTTTGTTAAGGTGCGCTGAAATGACAGAAGCAGTTAACTCATTAACCTCGCTAAAAAACACAAGTAAGGAACACAAAGAACTTTGTGCGGGAAGGATTCGGCGTGACTCTAAAGAGTTTTAGAAAATTAAATCATGGTTTGATTCTTATAGCCCATTTGATGTAAGAGAACAACTTGAGGTTCTGGAATCAGGGCTTGTAGATGAGTTTAATCAAGCGACTTGTGATTGTTCGGAAAGCAATGGTGCATTAATACAGGCATAAATGAATGATATGGCATACACAGAAGTATCCTTTAAGAAAACTAATTAACTCGAAAATTCTTTATGTACTCTACTCAAATATTAAAGTCACCAATAAAAATATATCAGTTGATCCCTTGACATTATTTTTGTCAGTTATCATTGAGAAAAAACTATAAAAGGAAATTGAAGACTTTTTTTACTATGAACTGACGTCAATCCCTATGCCACCTTTTA